CAACGCTGCAAGTCACTTGTCAGACGCCCTGCCTGACGTTTCTAAGGCTACAAATGTTCCCTCATGGTTTTCAGAGCCTCTGCCTGGAGCAATCTTCCTCCAAATGTCCACATAGTTCTCTCCTGGTCAAAAGTTTCTCTGAACATCACTTTAAAACTGAAGTAAGCTCTGCCCACTGCTCCCATGAATTATTCTCATTCTTTATTTCATTCAAAACCTATTATACTTTCCTCAATTGATTTTTCTGTCCATCCACTGTAATTTGTATGACATTTTTAAATTTTCTTTTCGTGTGCATGTGCTTGTGTGGAGTGCAGGAATATGTGTGCTTGTGTGTAGTGTAGGGGAGTGTGGGGGGGTGAGGTGGGGGGTGGGTCAGATGTCAGCTTGGGGTATCTTCCTCCACTCTCCATCTTGTTTTTTGAGGCAGGGTATCTCACTGAATCTGGAGCTCACCATTTTTGTTGGTCAGACTGGCCCACAAGCCCCAGTAATTGTCCTGTCTCTCCCCGCCCACCACACCCCACTTTTCTATGGGTCCTGGAAACCCAAACTCAGGTCCTCATGGAAGGCTCTTTTTCCAAATGAGCCATTATCCTAGACCCAGGTCCTGGGACTGTCATCTATGTTCACACCTTTGTGCTCCACACTAAGCAGCAAGTTTCAAAAGTACCGACTGACTGAATGGTAAAACCTACTTCAAAGTACAGCTGAGTCAGGGCACTGGGTGTGTTCTATTGTGCTCATTAGGATTCACTTTGCCATGACATTTACTTGATATCCCAACTTTGTAGTTAGAGGAAAGAAACTTTACAGTTACCTCATACTTGCCTGGTGACTATCTCCTACATGACAGTTGAAAATGGAAATACCACAGGGATTTAGACAATTAGGGAAACTCATGGAGCATGGCACCAAGAACGGTGGGGTGTGTTTGACAAGTAGAATAACAGACCATCCCATTGTAACTGTCCCACTGTAAAGAAATTCAGTTTTGACAAAAGAATTTATAGTAGACCTCTGTAAATGAAGCCTAACTGTCTTCAAAGGATGTCTTCAACTGCCAATGGCCAAGAGACCCAAGATGACATTTGTGAAGCCACACAGTTTTTCTTACTCCAGCCTAAGTCTGCGTCTAGCTATGCATCAAGACAACAGTACTCAATTGCTCAAATCTGGTCATGTTTGCTTTCTAACTAAATGGCATCTTCTTGTAAGAGGTACAGCCCCTTTTGGATCTTCAGCATCTGCTTACTATAAACCTAACTGATTTGCAACCTCTCATTAATAAAGTTGATGAAAACTAATTACATATATTGAACAAAAGTTTCCCATGAAGCTAATTTTTCTTTTTAGCTTAAGAATTTTGTTAGAATGAATTGCTTAGATTGCAGAAATACTTAAATATATATTTATATATTATATTATATGATTGGTAACGCCACAGAACCAGAGAAGGAAAAAAAGAGAGACGAAATACAAAAATTTATGATGTTATATAGCATCTTCCTTAACTAATATAAAGGAGCATGTCCATGGGCAAAAGTCTTCTAGCCATGTTAGTTAACAAAGAAATCAAGTTATCACCAATAAACTGTGAATATTGCATAATTTATCCTATAAACCAAATTATATTTTAGTTCACTTAAACACACACACACACAGCACACACACACAGAGAGGCTAAAATTTTCCCTCATTAGAAACATTTTGGAATTTGTATTTTAAAAGTCTAAGGTGGCTCCAGGCTTCTATTACTTGCACTATGGTTGAAAGGGGACACTATTAAATGTGTAATTGGAAGACTGGCAGATATGACATCCCTTTCTTAAAGACAGGCTGACAGCCGACTTCAACAGCAATGGCAAATTTGTTTGTAATGTTTGGTCTTGTGCAACTGTGTTATTCCAGGAAATAAATGTAACTGCATTTTTGGAAATAATGACTGGAATGTGTTTGAGACTGACATTTTGTTAATGGAACATGTGAAAACAGAAGGAACAAGAACTTTAAGGTTATATTACACCAGGGATTCATTGCATTAATTAAAAATAAAATCAAATTACTACTATATGTAATATGTGTAAGGCAAGTAAAACTAGAGGTGTTTAAAACAAAAGTGTTCGGTAACTGATTTTGTTTGGATCACCAAATTCTTTATTTAAAAAGCCAATAAGATTTATTTAAGTTAAAACAAATGAGACGTATCATTACAGAAAGAAGGATGACAAAAATGTAGGTAAAGAAGCTAACTGTCACATCCCTGTTAGTCCTTAACTCAAGAGGTGACATAGGTACTTAGTTACAACTTTGAAAGAAATTAAGAGTAGAAAACTAGACTAATATATTAAAAATTCAAGTGTAAAAACTAATAGGAAACACATAAAAAGGCCTGTGGTAGCTGCATCCCAGACAATGGGAACTAAAAAAAATTGAATATCAAAATATTTTAAAATTTCCAAGTTGAAAAAGAGCATAAAACTTTCCTTTAACAGGCAATGAATGCCCACTGCATTGTATGAAACTGTGTTTATCGCAGCCTGTCAAATAAAAGTGTCTGTTAGAACTGGAACTATGTCTGTGCCATCAACTACAGATCTATTAAACACTGGAGATGCGTAGACGGAGCTGAGAAACTCTTGTTTTCTGTGGTAGATCAATTTATATTTAAAACTCAGTACCCACATGTGGCTAATGGCTATTAAATTAGACAGTACATGTCCACAGATTTTTGTGACACTAAACCCAGATTTTTATTCTTTTAAATGTACTATTCAGGCTTTCCTGTTTGTAAAAGTTGATTTTAACATAAACACTTTGGACCTGTAAAACAAACTCTAAAATGCTGTTTACACATTTCAATCAATAAGAGATCAGAGTCCCTTAGTTGTGGAGGGGGGGGGGAGAAAAAAAAAAAAAAAAAAAACTTTAAAGGGATATTACCAAGTTCACAAGGTCCTTCTGTAAACAAACACCTTCTGTGTTTTAGCATAGTGCCTACAGCCGAAAACCGGGCCTTTGGGACTGGTTGGCAGGAAACCAGGGCAATGTTGCTAGTTAGGAGGGCTGGTAGACCATCAGCTCTTTAGAAACAACAACTGAAACATTTACACTGAACTGTTTAAAAAAGAAATGTGTTTGCTATTCATAAGCAAGGTGTCATTAGTTATTTGAGATTTCTTGCAAATGTGAATGTCAGGAATGGGATGTCTTTGTATGTGTTTGTATGTGTTCAAGACTAGAACCTCTTCTGGAAGGAACAGTCTGGATTGGCTGCCTGGCTTCTTCCACCTGGGACTGATGGGAAGTGATCAAGAATGAGCACCTTCCTGTTCCGAGCTGTCTTAGTCAGGGTTTCTGTCACTGTATTAACAAACCGTGGCCAAAAGCAACTTCAGGACTCGAAAGGGTTTCTTTCATCTTACAATTTGTAGTCAGTCCATTATCCAAGGGACTCAAGGCAGGAACCTGGAGGCAGGAACTGATGCAGAGGCCATGGAAGGGAGCTGCTTACTGGCTTGCTCACCGTAACTTGCTCAGCCTGCTTTTTTATAGAACCCAGAATCACCAGCCAAGGACACTGCCCACAATGGTCTGGGCCATGCCACAAAACTAATTAAGAAAACGCCCTACAAACTTTCCTACAGTCCAATGTTTACCCAGGCATTTTCTCAATTAATAGCCCTCTTCCCAGGTTTAAGCCTGGGTTTAAGTCAAATAGACAAAAACAACCAGCACAAGAACTGATAAAAATGCATCATGTCCCTGGGTCTGGGGGTTACAAAACTGTAAGTCTCAGAACTTGAGAGGGAAGCTGACAACATAAAGTTTGCCTGGGTGACTTAGTAATATCCAATACTCAGTCTCAGAATAACAATGATTTTTTTTTGTTTGTTTTGTTTTTTGTTTTAAAACACATCGTGTATAAGGGTGATGTGTATAAGGGCCTGGGTTCAATCCTCAGGACTGAAAAAAAAAATGTTTATTGTCTTACTATCTTCCAAACCGGAAGAAGTATTTGTTATAGTTTATTGTACGTGTTTCCAAAGCTGACTTATTAAATTTATAACATGCATTGTCCAGACTGCTAAGCTTAGCTTATCTGCACACACACACACACACACACACACACACACACACACACTCCAAAGGTACACAGTGACAACTCAGTAGAACGTGACTATTTTTATCTTCAAGATTAAAGTAGCTCTAAATAGTTTCCTCACACCACCACCCTGGGGTGCCTTCCAGAAAGAGTCTCCTATGTGCCAGTGAGAAAAAATAAAACAGTCACTTGTAACATTTATGTACCCACCTAGCACCCATCTAGCATCTGCTTTAGCAAAATAGGATCACTGTTCATTCTAAGTGGCACACGAGGCTTTTTAATCCCTCTAAGTAGAGAAGGGAAGCTGCTGGTCTCCTTCCCCTACTAGTTAAGATTCCCTTCATGAAAAGGATCTACAAAACCATCTCAAACCACTGTGTCTCTCCAAGGAACCAGTGTCCTATCCTGTGACTCCATGGCTTTTGTGAGGCATATAGGACCTCCCGCACTGACTAATATTACCTTGCAAAATCATCAGAGTAGGGGAGAGGGTTGCATGGGGAGACTCTGAGACACACTGGCATTCTGACAGTGAGCGGGTTTCATTTTAAGGTCTCGGTCTTCAGACTCCTGATAGTGAATGAATGCACACCCAACCTGGAAGCTGAAGGGGCCAAAATCCCTTCCTGGCTAGCGTCTTAAAACCCCTTTTCCAACGAGAATGCAGCACAGGGCAGCCATCAAAGGCCAGAGGGCCCTTTGCCAAGTGTTTCCATCAGTCCAAGAATGAATAGTTACTACGATAGTGTATATATTTAAAGTTACAGAAAACGCATTCTTAAGCCATGTATCAAGAAAATAGAGTAAAGGTGGAATTTTACTCTTCCCTGCTTATCCCACCATAGACGATTAGGGAAAAATACTGACAATGTTGTAGATATGAGAACCTTACCTGGTGATGACTTCCAGGGAGGGTTGCAGTGGTTTATCCGGATAAAGCACCAGCCATTTTCTACCAATCTATCCTATGTTAAGTCTGGAAGAGAAAAATATCAAAGTGATTCAGATTTTAATTTGTAATTAAATAATTGGTAATACTGCATATTAAGACTGTTTCATGAGAAAATGAAGCCACCTGTTTCATACTGAGAACATATTTTCCCTAATTTGGAGTTAGGCTGCCCTGTATCCCATCGTCTTCCTGATGATGGTTAACACCCTTCCCTGTAGACACAGACACCCGGCAAAGGGGACCAGACTTGACAAAACTGAAAACATGCTGTTAGATGTGAACTATGGCAACAAATTGGGTTTTTACTTATGAATCTGCAATTAAACTTTTTATTCAAGCAGAGGGGTTTTTGTTTGTTTGTTTTGTTGTTTTGTTTGTTTGTGAAAGAGTTCATAAAAAGGGGAGAGGAAGGGGAGAGACCAGCCTCCAGAGACAAGAGAGCAACTGGAGAGAGGGAAAGGGAAGAGGGGGGGGGGAGAGAGAGAGGGAGAGAGAGGAAAGAGGAAGAGAGAGGAACAAATAGAGGGAGAGAGAAAGAGAGAAGGATGGGAAGTGGGCAGGGCCATTTTAAAAGGGAACATAGTGAATATGCACAGGTGGATGAATCTGCAATTAAATTTTGCTAAATATTCTTTTTCTTATGAGGTTTATGCAAGTGTTATTATACTATATTTTGAAAACCCCATTCTAAAAAAACATTTCTCTGTTGTCCTTTTCATATAAGACCTGCATGCCTTATAAATGTTGCTATATAATAATGTAAATGTCTTGCTCTAATTTTTCCTGGGAGTTCACCTCCCAGAGATACTTTTCTTCTTTATCCCTCTAGAACTCAAAGTATATATGTATGCATGCAGTTGTATACATTGATGCTCTCTTAACTAAGATTTTACTTCTCTTCACATTGCTGTCTGTTCATTTTATTTATCCTTGCTGCTACACACAGAACGTCCTTTGTTAGCACATGAAGCAGCGTTATTCACTGATAATTTACTTAGCCAGCCTGTTCCTAAGGCCTTAAATCTCTTTTTTTTTACAGCTTCCCCTTTGGCTGCTACAAACATTTTAATGCTCATATTCATACAAAGACATTTTTATACTTACTCAACATTATTGATAGCACAATTCCAAAATAGAGGTATTCAACTAAACTGTATGTTTGTTAGCATAGCTATTTATAAAATACCATTTATAAAGTTTGTGATAAAAGTCTGATGCCAAAAAGCTAGGTTTTCATAAAAATCTTCTTTAATGTGTCTTTTGGTTTGGCATTTCAGTACCTGTGGATGAAACTGAACTTCTCGACTTCTAATTCTTTTCTACTCTTATTTGCCTTAACCATTACCTTGGCTTATTTTTTTCTACTGGGCCACTCATTATTATTTCTCATACTAAAGGGTGAATATTAGTTATAGAAGCTAATATTTTATGCTTTTGCAGGTTTGCAGTATATCTCAGCACTTTGTTTATCATACTGTTTATTATCTAGTCACTTATTTATTTATTCACTTCCAGGTAGCTAAATTCATCGGTAGTTTCTATTATGGATTTGGAAGATTCTACAAAGATTATTTTAAGCTGCTCAGTTACTTAAAAGCAAAAGTGACACAGAAAGCCCAATCTGAAGATTATTTTAGCTATAGTATCACAACAACTGGGGCATTATCACCATTATCAAAGACATTTTCATAAGAAGATTTCACTTAAAATACTAAGATGACGTAAAAGCTGTGGGCTTCCTGTAAGACTGCACTTTAGGAAGAAAATTAAGGAAGTCATCGGTTTTACAGTCCCATTTCTTCAGAGTGTTAGCAGTGGCTGGCTAAGCAAGAAGAGCAGTGGGAATAATGGGAAAGTAACAGAAGGCCCAGGGTGAACACGAAGTGGAAATGTTAAGCTCGTAGAGACTCACTCAAGGAATTTAGAGCACATACACAAAAAGAAAGAATGAATCCTGAACAAGTAACCCTCTGGGGCTTTTCAGATCTGTTGCCTTTTTATTGATTTTTTTTAATTGTTGTTGTTGTTCTGCTAAATTTTCTGGCATTAATAAAAATACAAGGAATGATTTTACTCACTAGTCAGTGATAACAAAACTAAGTTACTTTCATTAGACCATCAAGAACCTAAGTCCGGCCTTAACAGTATTTTGACAGGATCCCACGAAGCCTTATGCACCCAAAATTGTACTTGTGATTAATGTTTTATATGTTACTTATGAATACATTATAATTAAATGTTATTAAAATGTAAGACAATTACATTATCACTTCATATTTCTCTACCACATTGCTTAAGAGTGTGGATTCCTGGCCCTGTTAGCAAGCCTCTTCTCTTGACAGGTCAAATTTCAAAAAGTATTTAAGAAATCAATATGTAGAAAATACTTTGGATTCTCTTCTATTACGGATAAAGTGGCAGCAATGGACTGTGGGCAGTGAGTGGCTGGGAAACCATCACGGTGTGGTGTTTTACTCATGGTACCATGTGTTTGATCTAAAGTGACATCATCTACATGGAAAGCTGGTCATTAAATCAGGCTTAATGGAACATTCTCATTCAAGAGGTACACATAGATTTAAAATCATGAAGAAATGTAATTGAATTGAATACCAAAAAAAAAAAAAAAAAAGGTGTGAGTCAAAAAGCAGAGAAAATTCTGATGATAAAATTGTAAGCATTTGACATTTGTTGGAGGAAGTACTATGGGATGTTTTAATCTGTTTCGAAGACAAAAGAAACTAATGTGAATTGTCTACACTCCCAGGCTGGGCTTGGGGGGGGGGTGTCATTGATTCTGCCTCCCTTCTTAGCATTGAGAAACTCTGCCTGCTGTGTGATCACACCTTCTATGAACCTCCTACACCCACTGCATGGCATGCTGGTGTTTCTGAGCCGAGTTTTGCTCCCAGCCTTTCCCGTAAATATTAATTCTGACTGCTAAAACTGCCTGGATGCTAAAGCCCTGGATCCAAGCAGCAGATCAAATTCATCACATAGAAAATTGTGACAACTGTCCTGGTGGCAGGACATGATTCTTGAGCACGATCCTGGGAGATCTAGGCTCGGCTTAGACTTTTAGCCAACTTAATGATCTTCTGGCAAAACAAAAATCATTTGGCTGAGTCTATCTAACAATTGTCGGAAACCTGCAGACACTGGGAGGAATTCTTCAGGAACTAAAGTACTTGGAGAGTCACTGGCTTAAAAGAAATCACCGATTACTTGGAACCTGGCCACTTTATAGCTAGAATCTACTAGAGCATGTCTTCAACCATACATTAGGTAAGTAAGAGCCTGTACTGAAAGTTGACCATAAGATGTGATTTAAGTTGGCATCTATCTAGACATGAACTGCCACACCCTGTTCACGTGGTCCTGGGGAAGAAATGTACATGCTAGACAAAGACTCTACCAACCAAGTCATATTCCTAGCCCCCAGAAAGTTAATTTTTAAAAGCCTATTACTTGTTTCTCACCTTTTAAAAGAACCATCTTTGTGTATTTTCCTGATTCTCTTGAACTCCTGATTCAATGGGGTTTCCTGCCTCAGTTTCCCAAGCAGTTATGACTACAGACAATACTGTGTGCAGCTACATATTTATAAAGCTTGATTCCAGTACAAGTGCTACCCAGGTTCTTCCCTTCCCGTGCACCTGCCACACTTTTAGTAGCTCTTCCAACTGGAAGCTGAAATTTCTAGATGTCTTAATAGTGCATTTTAAGTAAATATTATAAAGAAAACGTAATTGTTCTTAATGTTTTTCTTCCTTGACAGAAATGGGTCTTGTTTTCAAATTAGAACTTTAAATAAATTCTTAAACAATTAGCTTCCAAAAAAAAAAAAAAAAAAAAAAAAAAAAAAAAGGTTGCCTAGTGTAGGACAGACAATGTGGCAAAGAACATGGCTTTGGTATGTGTCTTACTGTAGTGAGATTCACTTTGTCCGCATAGACCACGCCCACTGGGGGTGGGGACAGGGACAGATGTTACCTGAGGGAACTAAGTCTGAGGAGGCAACCCCAGGACCTCTCCTGCTTGCAGCCCAGGGACAGGAAGGAGAGCATCTGGAGACATCCTTGGGACCAGGAACTTGCTGGTGTCCATCTGTCTATGTTGTGAGTTATTTCTCCCTGAATAAACACCTATTTGGCCTATTTGTTTCTCCTGGTCCATATTAAACCTCAACAGTTTACAATGTTTAAATCTTACATGTTACCACATTTGAGTCACATTTTTATCTCTTATTATTTCTTAGTATTCTGACTGATAATATGAAGATACACAGAGACCATGTCATGGAGTTTTCTGCAGGTTGAATAAAAGGCATTCACAGGATGAACACTATACAGTATGTGATATATAATGAATAAATTTTAGCTTTATTAAAAAACATTTTATTTGGGAAGAAGAGGTTTCTCTGTGTAGCAGTGGATGTTCTAGGGCTTTCTTTGTAAACCAGGCTGATCTGGAACCCAGAGATTCCCCTGCCACTCCTCCCAAATGCTGGGGACTAAAGGCATGAGCCGCCACTGCCCATTTTTAAAACATCTTATCCAAAGGCCAAGAAAATAACATTTAAGATAATCATTGAAGTGGGGCTTGAGTACCGAGGCTTTTCTGTCTTTAAAGTACTTGGATCACCCAGGAGTCTTTGGAAAATGAAGATTCTTATTCAAGGAATCTGAGATCTTATATTTCCATACATTCACAGCTGATTCTCAGGAAGCTGGTCTATGGACTACAACACCTGAGGTGACTGAATTCTTGCTTCTAACTGAAATGTGAAGAATCTGATACAGGGAGAGAAAGCTTCATTTGCTTTGAAACATTCAAAACCACTGATTTGAGGTGTTCCTTGCATCGTTTTTGATTTAGTTTTTGCATCCTTTTTATTCTTTCCATGCCAATATTTCTTTAGATTGAAAACAATATTAGTGTCTATTTCCCAATGAGATCCGTATTGAGCCCTTTCATTGTGGGTAATGGGGTGAAACACTAGGTGTGTTGGAAAGGTAGTTCCACTGTCATGCTTTCCCTCAAACACTAGGAAATTGCACAGTGCTTAATAAGAGACTCTGAGGGTGCACGAATGTGATGATACTATTAAGGGAGTCTGGTGAGAAAGGGAAGGAGCTGCCATTCATTGTTGGAGAAGTGCAGGGACCTTATAATGCTGCCACACCAGACACCTGTCTCATCTGAACACGGGGACAGGAAGAGTGGTTTTTAAATGTCTTCTCTCTCTCGACATACCAACAACTCTGCAGAGCAAAGACCATTTTTTTTTTCACTTTGATGTGTCCTCAAAGGTGGCATGTCACTCTGCTTTATACAAGCACCTATGCAAGAACTTGCTACAGCTGATACAGATTTCATGGACAATTCTTCATTTTCCAAAGCAGTGTATGATCTTTAATTCATAGAAAATGAGAAAATATCTAAGCAACTCAGAGAGTTAATTAGCAAACATAGCATCTCGTTATAACCAAGTACACAGTGGCATGTATGTGTTTTCGATATTCTTGCTCTGTAGTTAATCAAGACCAATCGTTAAAGTCGTTGGCCTAAACTAAGACTTTTATCATTTGGTGAAGATCAAGGTGTCTTCCATGTATATAAAATGAGTTAAGAAATAAGTTGATCTAAATCAAAGGATGGTTAATCATCTGATTTAAAAAGTTGGAGCACATCCGGAACAGGCTGACACTAGAAGCAGTGTGGACTCATTGCTCACCTGTTTCCCAAACTTTTATGTTGTAACTGTAATTGAACATGAAATTCTTGAAAACACTCTTGGGTTGGGGAGTTGTAACCATAGCTAGCAGAATCTAGAAAATTGAGTCTACTTAAGACCTTTAGAGGAAGCACCAAAACAAAAATTAAAGTAAGTGATTCTAAATTACCTATAAGAAAGCAATAGAACAAAGCAAGCAAGCAATCACACAGCATTCAAACCATATAGCAAACTCTGTTATGAAAGAAATTTGAAACACGAGCTTGTTTTTCATATGCAAAGGAATTTTTCTGAATATCTGCTATGAAAAGAATTAAAAATCAGCAAATATTTCCTGATAATGCAGCTGTACACAACAGCGATATCCATTTGTCATTTCTGTGAATGCTCTAAATACATATTTTGTTTTGTATTCCCATCTGATGTTGAAGTAATAACTCTAACAAAACTTCGGCGAATATATACCTCTTTCGATTTCTTTTCTTGGAGGCAACCACTATATTTTAGAGCTTTTAATGGGTTAATAGTAGTGACTTGACAAATCATTTGAGTATTACCTTCTGCCACTTAGGTAATATTAGTTAAAAGTAACCGAAGCCATCAAGCCATTAAGAAGTTGATTTTTAGAACCTAAAATTCAATAAAAGGACCAGGCACAGTGATAATTAAAAGGCTAAAGGATAAGAGTCTGTGCTGGGCAGCAAAAGCATGCAAATGGGTCAGGAATTCCATCTCTGTTCCTATAACAGATCTGAAAGCAAAATAGAGTGTTCTCGACTATCTGTCTGGGAAGGGCATAGTCAGTGCACACCGAAGGCTGGCGGCTGTTGTTCAAACTGCTTCAAAGTCCTTGGAGGCTAAGGACTTCATTGGGTTTGGAGTAAGTATAAGATTAAACTTTTCTTTCCATGGCACAAGCAAAATTAGTTGTCACTGTTAATTAGTAACATAGTATCCACAGTCATAAGTAGCAGTGGCCAAAGGCAGCAAAAGTAAGCTCCAAAGTATCAGGGACAGTTCTTTCTCCAAACCAGACAGAAGACAAAGCTGAAAGGTCTATGTATGTGTCCTTACACTGACCCAAGTAAGACAGCAGACAGACTGAAGCTCAGTACGCCTGCTTCAGACACTGATGGGCAGACATTTTGTAAGCCTCAGGATAACTGGTCTTCCTCTGAGAGAAACCCCACTCTCTTCTGAGGTGATGGGTACCGAGATCGGTTCAGCTAATACCAAGGAAGAGCAGAACTAGAAACCAAGGCCTTGTGAAGGAGAAAGTAAACCAACATCAACAATAAAAACATGAACAAACAAAAATGAGAAATCCAGGAAGAGAAGGAGGAATCTGAAAAATCAGTAAATATTAAGACCTTGCAACTTAGGGTCACTGCCTAAACCTCAAGCTTTATATATTATACATTATAGGGACGGTTGCCTATGATTTGGGGATGGACCATGGATCTATTAGGAAACTTAACGTCTCTTCAGAGAAGACAAACGGAAGACTGCAAGTATGGGCTAACAAGGTAACATTTTAGACTTTTATTTTGTTAGCAATCACTAAGAAAGAAAAGGTGGTTTTTAATAACTGGAGAAGACCTTCTGGGCAGTGCCCTGAGACTCGGAGTTGTTAAATGAACATAATGACTCTTAATATCATGCAGCTAATTTGGTGGGTGGACAAGTAGGGTGCTTGGGCATTAACAGGAAAATGGTTCTGGATGGAGACGTGATTGTTCAAGTGAGGCCTTTACATGGCAAACACCACTGGTAGTGTTTGTTTGTGGTTAAACTGAGGAGATGAAACGCTAAAATAACCCTCTTGGGTTCCTTTTGAACTTTTTTTTTTCTAATAGAAAATTTTAAGGAAGCTTAAGGCTTTTGCTAAGGGCAATAAACACAGGGGCCCCAGGGGCCCCAGGACCCCGTGTGGGTGACTATCAAAAGAATCATTCTGGGAATGAAGTACCTTGAAGAGGACAATTACTGGCTGAAGAGAACAGAAGGGGTAAGGCTGCTTGATTCCCTCTCGGTTGTTCTCTCTTCCTGGAATGACACAGGAAATTAATGTTGCCAACTTCCAAATGAGACCTCAGGGCACACAGAGTGCCCAAACTTTCCTGTGAAAAAGTCTCCTGGGAGTCGGTGGTGGTCTGTTTGTTTGTTTGTTTGTTTTTTGTTTTTTTTATGCTTAATAAGGACATTAGTAAACAAGGGCACAGGTAGCCAGGTCTATGCTTGACCAAAGGCAAGGGGACCAGACAAGCCTTGGGGAGGATCGTCTTGAGTTTTCTGGAGACCACCACAGTTTGGGGTTGCGGAGACACTGGGCTAAAGGAACAGGAAACAGGTTAGAGGAGTGGAGAGCCCTGTTTTCCATTCAGTACTGAAAAGAGGCCACTTAAATCTTTCAGGGACTCCAGGCCATGTCTGCCTGCTAAGGTGCAGCAACCCGCCTCTCCCTGCCCCAGTCTGGGGAATCAAAGAGCCTCTGGGAACACCTGCGGTAATAGAGTTTAGCCCATCTACCGATGTCTGATGGCAATGGCCCATGCTGTCAGGGTTTGCTCGGAAGGGGAAAGCAGAGAAGGACAATGAGGGGTCATTGGTAAACAAAAAGTGGGCACTCTTAACTTAAACGCCAAGCAGCACAACTTCAAATGGCTGGCCTCGCAGTCACACAGGCCACGGTTAAAGTCAGGTCACAGTTTAAATACCACAGTTATTTAAAGGCACGGAGAAAAGTTGCTTTGCTTGCCTCCCATTTCTGTAAATTTCTAGCCTGTACTCGAAAGAGTTTGGTCAAAATATTATGACTCTTTTGGAGCACGCTGCAAATGAGCGCAGTTTCCTCCCACTTGATCTGGAGAAGTGCGGCCAGCTCCAGTCTGCCGCCTGGCCGGGAATGTACTCCTTCTCCTGGGTCCCCCGGGTCCTCCTCGCCCAGTACTCCTGGTTCAAATGCAGTGACAACGAACCGATCCCTCCTGCCCCTGATCACCACGCTGGCATGACGCCTCGGCTAGGACTCACCGCACCCCGGGAGAGCGCCAGAGCTGGGAGAGCCGCTGCGCTGGTACGGGCCTCCGCCACCCGAGCCACCGGTGGAGCAGGACTCAATCCCCGTGTCTTCTCTAGCCACACAGCATCACCCAGTCCAGTCGCAGCTGCCTGGCGATCATCAGCGAAGCATCTCCTCGTTTATAGCCTAGGGGGCGTCGCTGCTCCACAGGTTCCAACCCCTGGGCTCTGCTTTGCACTCCTCCCCTCCCTCTCCTCCCCGCCCCGCCCCAGACCCTCGGTCCAACCCTCTCCCTCTCTGGATTCTCACTGCACTTTTCTGCTGCCAGTCACCCGTTGCCAGTTCCCAGATCCGTGCTCATGTGGTCCTGAATCCCCCATCACAGCCTGAGTGCTGGAGATGGAAGGAGGTTGGGGTAAGGCCACATAAATTGACTCCGAGATAAATGCTCCACTTAGAACCGAGGAAGGAAAAAAAAAAAAAAAAAACCTTGGAAAACTTTTAAGGATGAACTTAAAAGACAAGGGAACTCCCTTGTCTTTGCTGTGGCTAACTCAAATTTTGACACCCTTGTGTGGCTCACAGATGGAATGGATTAATTTCAGAGTTGTAAAGTGAAAGAGATGAAAACCAGTTCCTCCTAGTTTACACGCGGCTCGAGCTGCACTTATTTTAAAATAAAATCAGACTGCCAAAAAACAAATAGCACAAAATATCTGAAAACGAAAATGAACTCAGTTCTTTTCAAAACCAAAAGTCCTTTCCCCAGTGCATCATGGTGAAGTCAGAATTACTCTGATACCAAACCCAGGCAACACATTACAAGAAGACCTCAGACTAACCACTTCTGTGAGTGGAGATGCAAATCCTCAATGAAGTGCTACCAGTTCAAACCCAATGAAAAATAAAATATTGAGATCAGGATGTGCCCTGCTCCCAATTTCTCCACACTGTAACACTGGCTTTTCAGACTGCAAGAGGTTCTGTTTTACAAGCAGCATTGACTCCATTTTGGGGGGGAAAAAAAAAAACGCAGAAGTAGAGTTCACACCTTGATGGGCAAGTAAACACCATCTGTCTATCACCAGTCACAAGGCACAGACAGATTTAACAACTTATTCCTTCAAGTAGAAAAGGCCCCACTATTAAAAAAAAGGAAAAAGAAAAAGAAAAATCAAAGTAAATGGGAGCCTACTGCCACGCATGCTGATGTTAAGATTAAACCAGGGAAAGCAGGCAGGACATCTCCACCTGCCATATAACTGTCAACTGGGCTGAGTCTTGCACTTGACCTCTCCAGCCTTTGCTCAAACCTTGACTGCACAGTCGCAGACCTCCATCAGGATTATCTTATGACCATAGAGACTCGAGCTACCCTACCTGGCTTCTCAGGCATCTCTGCAATTCCTCCGGCTCCATCTGGGTCTCTTCACTTCTATGCAGCCAATCTGTAAACTACATGTATGCATATGTGTTGTGTGAAGTGTAGTGTATAATCTGAAAGTAAATAGTCATAGCTAAGATCAGAATAAAAGAATCTATGTTTCTGTATTTGCCTTTTAGGTTATCAAGGAAATACAGACTGCTTTATTGTTAGTCAATAAAATCTGAAGTTGTGAAAAATCACAAGCATGTTACTTGGATCTTTGTAAACATAAAATTTCAGTTTTTTTCAATGGAGGTAGTCTTTTAGTATGAAACCTGAAACAATGAAACAGCTAGAATAAAACATAAGCACTGCCCTACAAGATACACGTAGGACTTGAGAAGGGTCAGGAGTGGGAGAGAGCAGGATATTGGAAGTGGGGGAGAAGAGTGAAAATGATGTAAATACTTCTGTGTGAAATTCTCAAAAAATAAATTAAATATTAAGCTATAAAATAAACAAGATTAGAGGAGCTGGAGAGATGGCTCAGTGATTAAGAGCAGGTACTTCTCTTGTAGAGAACCCGAGTTCATTTCCCAGAACCCATGACAGGAATTTCACAAACACTTGTCATTCCTGCTGAAGGAAGACAGATGCGTCTAGCCTCCCCAGATACATTCATGCACAGCATATACAGAAACTTACATAGCACATACACACAAACGTTTTTTAAATCTCCTGAGCATATTGGGAGGGGGCACAGTGAGTGAAGAGGGAGTTAGGAGAAAGACAAGGGAAGAAGAGGGGAAAGGAGAACATGAAGGACCAGGAAGATTGAGTCAGGGGAGGAATAGAGGAGAGCAAGAAAAGAGACACAATAATAGAGGGAGCCATTATAGGTTTGAAGAGAAAACTAGCATTAGGGAAATGGCCAAAGACCTACAAGGATGAACCCAACTAACAATCTGAGCAATAATGGAGAAGCTACTTTAAATGCCCTTCCCTGACAATGAGATTGATGACTACCTTATATGCCATCCTAGAGCCTTAGTCCAGTAGCTGATGGAAACAGAAGCAGACACCCACAGCTAAACACTGAGCTGAACTCCTGGAATCCAGTTGTAGAGAGTGATGAGCAAAGGGGTCAAGACCAGGCTACAGAAACCCACACACAGAAATAGCTGACCTGAACAAGAGGGAGCTTATGGACCCCAGACTGATAGCTGGGAAACCAGTATAGGACCAGCCCTGACCCCCTGAATGTGGGTTCTCAGTTAGAAGGCCTGGGCAATCTAAGGGACATCTGACAGTGGAACCAGGATGTATCCCTGGTGCACAAAAGGACTTTGGGAGCACATTCCCCATGGAGGGATACTCCCTTAGCCTAGAGACACAAAGGAGGGCCTAGGTCCTACACCAAATGACTTGACAGATTTTGATGATCCCTGCTGGAAGGCCTCACCCTTCCTGGGGAGTGGATGGGGAATGAGATGGGGAGGGGGTGTCGAGGGTGGGGAGGGACATGAGAGAACAGGAGAGACAAAGAACTGGGATGGATATGTCAATTAAGAAAAACAAATATGAGAATGGTATTATATCACTTAGAAATATACTAGTGAAATAGCAGACACCTTAAACATGTTAGTTATTGACTTTACAACTTTTATGCATTTTTTATTGTTATGAAGGTTGAGCTCCATATCAGAGGACAACTTTATGGTGTCTGCCTTCTCCTTCCACCTTTGCAGGGTTCATAATCAGGTGGTCAGATTTGCATAGCAAATGTCTCTGAGCTGTCTCACTGGCCTCCTTCAACATTGTTTTAGTACTAAATACAAAACTATTGCAGCTGGCAGGATAGCTCGTGAGGGAAGCTGCTTGCCACCCCACCTGACAATCTGAGTTCTAGTTCCTAAACCTTCATGGTAGAAACAGGAAGTTGACTTCTGCAGGCTCTTCTACAAGTACATACATGTGCACACGTACACATGCAATCATACACGCAAACACACTCGCATAGAATAAACAAACACAGTAAAATTTGAACACAACAAGAGTTAAGAAATATATAAAAGGGATGGAAATGTCTAGTCACTTGTGGTACTCAATAGCAAAACAACTGAAGCTGGTTATTAGCCAGAACTTCTAAAGTATATGTGAATATGTTCCCAGGAAAAGTAGAAACAAGTTTAATGTGAGAAATTAATTTAAGGGCTTATGTCCTAAGGTTTTACAGAAGAAGAGGTGGTTGGAAGTACCTGACAGGCTCCTTTCCCTCACCTGGATTTCTCCATGTCCAGAGAAGGATGGCAAACAATTCTGAATTTGTGGTTGTCATATTTATTTATTTATTTATTTATTTATTCATTCATTCATTCATAAACAGAATGAAATACTTTTATTTACCCCAGAGGGGGTGTTTGATAGACAACACTCTTGATCTGGATCGAACTGAGTGTCTAGTGTTGAGAAAGATGCCCTTGAGTACATGGTGAGGGAAAAAGGCAGGGAAAATAATATTGCCGAGTATTGAAGCTTCTGGTACCAGGAGTATTGCCACAAGTTTGAAGTTAGCTGGGTTATACGGTGAGTTCTCTGCCAGCTTGGGCTACATAAACAAATAAACACATAGTTTTAGCAGTAGCTCTCAGTAAAGGGTTAGTGAGCTGCTGATTGTAATATTCATTTCTTAAATTTCCAAGTGTTTGGGAAAATACATATTAATTTTACAATATCACCTTAAATTATTGAAAATCTTTTGAATTTATACTGTGATTACAAAAAACCAGGGTTATAATCACCAACTAGAATTCAGGTTTATTTAATTTAGGAACACCTTTGTTCAGTAAATGAGATGCTTCTAGATGTAAAAGGCAGATTCATTTCTAATTTTTTTTTCATCTTATAGTGGTAAATTACCACCATAATTCCTTACTTCTTTTTTCATCATATTTAAAGTCTCTTGAATATCTCTGCCTCCATATAATATATAAGTGCTCATGTGTCTTTCATTTAACGTCTTATAACACCCCAAGAACTTATTCCCAAAAAGGGTGGCTCTTAGGTAAAGCCAAAGTTGTAGTTAATTTTGAAAAGTTTGAAAATGTTATCTAACAACTCTAATTGTATTAGTAGATTTGAATTGTATCATTAAAATAAGTTCTTCATCCACTAAGCAATTCACCAAAAATGCCCCCAATACAAATGCATTTTAACAAATTTTTTCCTACTGCTCAGGTCACCCAGCAAGTGAATATTTTATTTCATAAGAAAACATAAGCTTAGTGATTAGAGACAGGTTTAAATGTCTCATTTAGCAAAAGGACAAAATAAAATTCTTGTTCTTCCAAGTCAGGTTTAGTAAACGTTGCCAAGACCAGATCAATATAAAGGAAAAGCTGATTGTTGTGAATGAAGAATTGAGCTTCAGTTTTACCTCTGGGCATTTAATTTTCGACCTTAACATTTTCAATGACTTTTGTATTACAATTAACTTAGTTGTAACCATGTCCACTTCCTGTAAGTTTGGCACTCTCAACCTTCAGTCTTGTTCTTTTCCAACTTGGAACTCTCTTCTATTTCAGGGCAAAACTCTCTGTACAAAAGCCATCCCTACCTAAAAGTGTTTCCTTGTTCTTTAACACTTTTTATCAAAAATTCATTTTACATCTGTAACTTTATACATTCCTTATTAGCATGATGGCTTCTTCCTATATTATTATTGCTATTGTTATTTTTATTATTATTATTATGCAATGTATAAAG